ATCTAACATACGCACTGACTTTGAACTAGCAAGAGCCATATGGCAGGTTACTGGCCTGCATGCTTGGCTTCAGCAAGAAACACTGTGTGCGCGTGTGTGTGTGTGCGTGTGTGTGTGGCCTCCACTTTCTCAGTCACAACAGGCCAGTCAATAATCATGCAGCAAATGAGGCTTCTGTCACTTGCTGCACTTCCTCCACAGAGCTGCTTCTCGAGTCTACCCGCCATCCCGTGAGCCTCCGCCGTTATGTCACATTTTGTGACCGAATGTGTGTGTGTGTGTGTGTGTGTGTGTGTGAAGCATGGCCTCCTCCCGTGTGAAAGGGAAGGAAATGCCTGTATTTGTAGTCCCAGCATGGCCTATTAAATTTGCGATGCTTCCACAACACCATCCTAACATTATTTATAAATAGCAGAGGTGGATGTGACAGACAGTATGTGCAAGTCGGAAGTCTCAAATAAAATTCCAAGCAAATCCCAAGTTACTGCTGGGGGGTCATGTACTTTGGTTATTTGTTCAGCAAGTAATAAGCCAAGTCATAAAATCATACTCAAACATGTACAGTGGATATAAAAAATCTACACACCCCTGTTCAAAAGCCAGGCTTTGGGTATCTAAGAAAAGGATGAAAATAAATCATATCCAAACCATATTCACCATTAACATTACCTGCATCAGACTTGACGGAATAAATAATCATTACAAGAGGGGAAGTAAAAAAAATCAACAAATAACAATAATGTGACTGCGCATGCGACTGTGTTCAGAATTAACCAATTACACTCCAACTCGAGTTCAACTGGAGTCAGTATACAGGAAGTCATGAACTAAAACGAAACAAAAACAGCTGTTGAGATATTAACCATTTTATATAAATCCACAACGGTGTGATTACTGACACAGAGAATACACGTTGGAAATTTAAAACAAAAACAGACCTAAAACTAAAACACTTTTTTTCTCCACATCCCCACCTGCTGCATCTGGTGTGGCATTGCCCTCATTTATTGCTCGGCACATTTCAGGGGCCCCAAATGTACAGGGAGACGAGGCAGCAACACAAAGTCACAGCAAATGACTCGCAAATCAGCACTCCAAAGGAATGTGGCAATTTTAAATATGCAACCCGTATCAAACATCATACAGCTAATGAGACGACTCGTTTTGATGACTGTTTTTAGCAGCATCTGCCGGAACTGCTGGAGAATGTAAATGTAATGTAAAAAAATCCCCATCGCACAAAGAACCTTTGTTTGTGAATGTAGGTCAAGGAGCAGGTCGAGGTGTCAAATTCTGCAATGCATATCGTAGCATCATAGCATGAGCGTCACACTTGTGAACCCCACTGTATGTGTGACAACATCTGTCTTGTTTACAGATTAGAAGCGGTGGCAAAGTAAGTCACATCTCAGCTGGACTGCGCATTGACGGTTCTGGATGTGCCAAGCGCGGGATTAGAGAAGAGAGAGTTGAGGGGATGAACAGAATAAATAAATAGGCAGGGAGAGAGAGAGAGAGAATGGTGGCTGAATTAAAGTGCGCCACTCTGCCTTTGGCAGCCCCAAAAAGGCCCATTATTTAGTTTTTGTGTGTTTTGGAGGACAGGGGCGGAGACAGTGAGTTGGCCGAATGGTGCAGTTCAGTGTCGGTGTTGTTCGGAAATATTTGCTTCCTGCACAGGAATAAATGTGTCTCGTTTTTTTTTTTTCTTCTTCTTCTTCATCAAGTACAGAGACACACCGAGTGGGCAATGTCAGTATGTGTGCGTGTATGACTACACCAAGCGCCCCCGCCTCAAACGCGGAGGATTGCCTGGTCTAAAAATGCCAGCCAAAACGTGTGATGTGTTCATGTGAAGTGAGGGATGACAGCAGGGAGAGGGCACCAACATGGCAACCCACACATCATTTATATACATCGACAGTACACGGAGCGAGGAAAGGGACCGAGCAAAAGTCCACCTCCTCCGAAAAAGATTGATATTGTATTGTCATTTCCCATTTGTACCACAAGAAGGCTCCTTTTGTCTCAGTGAAGCTCCACAATTCACTTCAACAAAACTGCTTAGCAACAAGATGCCACTAGATGGCGCAAAAACAGTGAATGGGGATTTTTTTTTCAGTGAACAACAGAGGATACTGTACCGTTTGACAAGAAATACAATATACACACTGTATACATTTTATGTAGAGAGATAGGTACACAATCACAGAGAGAGAGAGAGCGAGAGAGAGAGAGAGAGAGAGAGAGAGAGAGAGAGAGAGAGAGAGAGAGAGAGAGAAATAAACACACACACACACGTATATTTTTAAACAGTACATAAAAGTTTTCTAAAACAAAATGCAGGTGTTATGGTCAACAAAAGGGACAAATGGAGGAATAATGACATGATATGAATGGCAAGGGGAAAAAGGAAAAGGAGCTAAAACATCCACAGTGATTTAGAGAAATGCACCAGTGACAGCGTGTGTGGGCGTATGTGTGTGTGACAAACGCACAGGCATACACAGTGCTCAGGTGTCACAGTGACACAACTGGTTAGGATTGCAGCCAGTTTGAGAAATCAAGCGGAAAGGAGAGGCAAATAAATGAAAGTTGTGATGCATGCACATACACGTACACACACACACACACGCACATACACACACTACCCTTCATGCCTTGGGGAATGCACGCTTGTCATCGCACACAAGACGAAAGACTGAGGCGCTATTCGGACCAAGAAGTCTGGCAAGTTCAGACAAACGTATTGGTCCTTCAAAAACAAGTCAAGGATTTTATTGTATTTTTGATGTGTGTGTGTGTGTGTGTGTGTGTGTATAGTCGAATTAACACAAGCATTATTTTTAATGCAGATTAAAGTACGACCCTTATTTGGAAAGCCCTGTACTTGGGGGATTCCGGTCGCGATGCAACAGTCGCCATCCACATTTGAATTTTCCTCGAAAAATGCACTGCCCTCTATCGACACAACGTTTAAAGAGCAGAAAGCTACAATGGAGGAGCCGTTTGGAGTGTGAAGCGCCATCACCAGCTCTTCCCTTCTTCGAGTGGGGAACACACTTGAGAGACTGCTGGTTGCTCCAGCTGTAAGGGCTCTGCATGGGCACTCCCAGACCTCTTTAACAGCCAAGATTTGACCGGATGAATATTTGTGTTTTATTTTAGTTGTATTAATCTTGAATTTCTTTAATTGTGTGATCAATATAAAATAGCCACCATCCATTGATTATCCAACCCCAGGTGTTTTGGGGCAGTAATATGTATTTTATACATGAAAAGATACAATTTTACTGACAACTTCCATTCGTTTTAATGAAAAGTATTTCAGCACACGCTCTATAAAGCAGGAATGACCAAACTTTTTAACCGAAGATCTACTCTTTTCGACAACCTCCCGCGATCGACCCGTTACACACGCATGCCATGATGAACAAAGCCATAGCTGCCGCTAAAATAAACGAAACAGAAATAGAAAGTTGACACAAGAGTTGATGAGTTTATGAAAAGGATTTCCTGCTTACCTTAGTGGGCGACCTGACGCGGAGCCACGCGACGCGCTTTTGCAGCCTGTTAATTATCGTAGCTCACGCATACCGTTTTAAAATGCTCTCCCGGCTCTCCAGATTGCCATTCTTTGCGAGTGCCATCGATGGATTGTACAATAAACGAAGTTTGACTGATAACAATCATAAAAAATAATAATAATAAAGCTACATCGCAAAAACTCCGACCCGCAAGCTGCAATTGCAGACTTCTGAACGCTAACAACTTCCGGTGACGGACGTCACGCACCACCGTAGGTTAAAGGTGACCTGCTTTATTTTTTATTTTTTTTAAATACTTTTTGTGAAAGTGAGACTGATAGGATGATTAGAATGTAATGTGCATTAACACAAAAAAATATATTACTAACATGCGTAGAGACACACAAATGTTAGTTTGTCTCCCGCCCCCGCACTCCTCCCGATCGATTTGGGACCAGTCCGCGAGCTACCGGCCGATCGAGACGGCGTCATGGAAATATATTAAAAAAGATACAAATGACCTCTACCCGCGATGTAAAATTTTGTTCACAGCTCTGGAACTATTATTTTTTTCCAAAAATTGCTTATAATTCAGATACTGGTTTCCTCCATAACATGCCAGAAAATAGTGGAAAATGACCCTTTACTTCAAAGTAAAAGCAGGTGCTTGCAAATGTCTCATTTTGATGAAACACAAAAGATAATCAGTCTGCTTTCATGAAGGACTAGTGGAAATCAGAGAAGACGCAAACCAAAACATTGTGAGGTCCGGGCTATTGCCCTTTGGAACACCTTGCAAACAGACACCTCCAAATTTTAATTAATGGTCCTGGCTCACAACGTTTAATCTGTTCGCAAAATAGCTGCTGATTAAACTGATGATCAATTAGTTATTGATGAATCACCTGTCACGTGAATGGCCATGTTTACAATGTACCCTATGTCTGAAAAGATGAACACATTTTATTGCTTGGGTGGGTGTGGAAATTTGCACACGTGCGTGTGTGAATGGTCCAAAATATTTTAGTGAGTATCAATATGATTGGAGAGGCTTTTTTTTTTTTTTACACTGTATGTGAGTAGACAAATCATTTTTTACATGCATGTACTAATGGGTGAATGTTTCCAACATGAATTTGTGTATACCATAGGTGTGAATTGACAGACAGTTGTTTACAGGTGTACGTGAAAGGAGAGTCGTTATCAGGTGCACCCAAAGAAGTTTCCGACTGCTGCATGACGACATAGCGGCAGACAGGTCGGACGCAGTAAAATTAATCCCGCCGTCCAACTCGTCTGGACTGACGCTTCAAGGTTCTTCAAGTGAATCACATTTATTGATGGGCCGTCATAGCAAGTAACATGATGGAAAAATGACTCACCACCCCCCAAAACACAACGGCCCAAAAAAACACGAAAAACAGCATGCGAGCATCAAAGTCAAACCAGTTCAAGTGTTTTTTTTTTAAATTGATTTAATGGCTTTAAATATGAATAAGAACAGAGACAGTGAAGCAAAAATCCTGTGATAAAATATTGATGGTGCCAAAAACGAGCCCCAAAATACACCATAACTAATTAAACCTGATCATTCTGTTGGAAATCAGCATTGTATTAAACAGACGTGTATGTATCATATATGTTTGGTCAAAGATATATCAATAAATGACCCCCAATTCAACCTTGACTGGAATGAAGCAGCTTATTTAAACATACAACAAAAGGTTTGGAAATAGGCCTTTTTCACAATGCTTCTTTCCTTTATCATTGGAAAGCCATTTCAAATGTTGAGAATGGCATGCTGGTCACACACTTTTTTTTTTTTTTTTGTGGAATGGCATTTGTGCTGCCCAACCCACGGCTCCTTCGAAGAAAAAAAATAAAATAAATAAAAATCCCTTAGAAATGATGCAGTGTGTGACCAGCAGGACATACAGTACTCTATTGCAAAATTATGATTGTAAAGCATGTTTCCTTCACTTTAAAGCAATAATCCGTTTGCAAGTAACCCACGTTTGTGGCGTGAGGAGTTCAAGCTCCTCGTCCCACAGCAGTGTGCGACCATCATCGCGTACTCATTTGTCTTGCTGCACCATTGTAAACGAAAATGTATTTTCCCTTTGAAATGGTGGCCCGTTTGTCACAAAAGGCTTTGGAGGATGCAAATGCCATCTCGCAACAGTGTGTGATTAGCATCGCACGCTAAATTGCGCTTGCTCAGCCCACAAAATGAAGGGTTTCACACAAACAGGGCATTGGCTCAAAAGGGAAGTCAACAGTCTTTTCAACAACAATATTTACAGGAAAGAAGCATTGCGTGAAAATCGTCAAAAAACACTTTTCCAAACTTTTTAGCTTGATGTCTTTTTTTCCCCCATGAGGTTTTTTTTAGGTCGCACTGAGCTAAAGTGCAAAGGCCTTCAGAAGTGCGTGTACGTACATGCTATCACGATTAGGATCTGGAACGATTGTTGTTGTTGTTTTGTTTGTTTTTTTTTTTTTTAATGGCCACGTCTACTCTAACTGGCCTGTTGACAGGCAAGTTTGTTCACACCTTCTCATAAGAATCATATATACAGGTCGGGTCATTTACAATCCAAAAAGTGATTCCAGAACAAAAACAAAACATTTCATCAGCAACATTTTAAAAAGCTAAAACGATATCTTGGTTTTTTTCCATTCCTTCATGATAGCATCATCATAGTTATTCATGTCCTTTCCACTGCGTGATTGTTCTTCATGTTTTCTATGGTGGTAAACATAAATAAGGCAATAATAAAAAATAAAAATAATATTCCCACCATTCGAAATATAGCTTTTTGAGTCTTCAATGAGATGGAATGTCAGTACCGTAGGTTGAAAGAAAGCGGAGTGTGATAAACAGGATTGAGGTGAATGAAGTCAGAGAAGGACTTGAAGGGAAAGAAAAATGGCGGGGTTCTGGCATCCAGCAGCAATAAATACGCGGTTGAGCCAAAATGGCGGTGTCGTGCATAACCTTTTACTCAGACTCTTAATGTAAAAATGGATCCATACTAACGAGGTTTGAAGTTGGAGACAAAACAATTGGACGCCGCCTCTTTCAGAAACCAGATTAGCGTTTGTTGTATTGGAAAAGCACAAAAATTGTCCAGTGTGTCCAATTTGGAAGCACTTTTCCCATACAACTGGAACCTTCCCCCGTCAAACTGTTGACATCATCAAATCTTCAACTCACTCAACATGGTTGTAATCTGACCAGAAAAATGGGTGTACATTTAAAAAAAAAAAAAAAAAAACTTTGCCAGCAATTAGATGTTTCCGCTTGAATTCAAAATCTACAAACTTTCTGGCAGGCTTGAAGTCTCTGCTTGAATTTCAATTTAAGTCGATCACACCAATGAAGTGATACATGGAAAGTTTTTCGACGGTTTTCAGTTTTGAAAGCTTTGATGTACAGTATGTGTGTCTTTCTGTCAATGTTTTGACATTTTGGCAACAAAAGTCAGGACTTTTGTTGCCAAAATTTTAGATGGATCAACTTATTTGCTGGTTAAAGACAGCCCCAAAACTGTGTAAATTACCCTTTTGGTGTCTATGAATGTTTTTTAAAATATTTTGGCCTCAAACGAAGAACTAGAAACTACAACGACACGATTCTGGAATTATTTTGGAGTTTATGGATTTTAAAAGCAGGCGTGGGGAACCCATCCATCCACTTTCCATCATGCCTATTCTCATTCGGGTTGCAGACAGTGGAGCCAAAGACGCGATTTACACTGTGGACTGATTGCCAGCCAATCACAGGGTACTTAAGTGTATAGACAAACAATCACCATTCAATCAATGATTTCGGATCTGAACATAACATGCGTGTTCTTTTGGCACGGGGGGTTAAATCGAGTCACGTGCAACTTCCACACAGGAGGGATTAAAATCCAGAACCTCAGAACTGTGAGGTCGATATGATAACCTTTATACCACCATGCTGCCCATTGATTAAAAATCAAGAGCAACATTACAAAAATAACAACAAAATCCTTCAATGTATGAGTTTAGAATTTTCCAATATAATTTTTCAAATCTTGTTTCTACATGAGTGCTGCTGTAATAAATTATAAAGTGGACTTTTACAAATGCGCTCACCAGCCGTATACGTTAAGTTCCCTTCTTGAAAAACTTAGCGGCAGACTTCGCTAAGTCTTCTTAGTTAAGCTAACTTAGTTAAGACTTCGGACGCTCACCTGTTAAGTGTCCCTTTAAGCGTCAGCACCCCGCACACACTGGACGGAAGAAACAAAAGGCGGAAGGAAGGATGGATGGATGAATGGAGGGAGGGAGGGAGGGAGGGAGGATGTGCAGGAACTGATGCGTTCATTTTGGCAACGTGAGACAACGGCATCGGCGAGCATCCCTGCAAAGCACGGTTGACAGTCAGTCCCCATTGCGTTCAGCAGCAACAACAAAAAAAAACCACACAAAAAAGCTTCAAATAAATTAAAAGTATGAAAAGAAAATAATTACATTCAAAAATAACAAACACCATTTCTCGGTTGAGGTTCATCCTGTTTCCTTTTAGCCATCCATGAGCATATCTGGATGGTTGTGTGTGCGCGCAGGTGTGTACTTTGTAGTGCATGCACGTGGGTGTAAGCACAACTAAACTGTTGGCATGACACCACGTGGGAGCTTCGACATTTGGTGTGTGTGTGTGTGTGTGTGTGTGTGTGTGTGTGTGTGTGTGTGTGTGTGTGTGTGTGTGTGTGTGTGTGTGTGTGTGAAAAAAAATTCAGAGAGGGCTCATGCAGGCCTGAAGCCTGGTTGTGTTCAGGTGAATTTCACCAGTGTTTCTTGTTTTCTCTTGTGATTGCCTTTCTATGTGTGTGTGTGTTTGGGGGGGGGTCAATGTTTTTTTTCGTCGCATTTTGTTTCTTTTTTACTTTGTGAGATGAGTAAAGAAATCGGTGTTATGTGTCGTGTGCGTGAACAAAAGTGAAGTCAGTGAAGATCCGCCCACGAGAGTTGCGTGGAACATTCCGTTCAATTGGTGCACCGTTTCTTTTGCGACTTTGGAAAAGAGCAAACAAAATGTCCGCTCGCGATCAAGTGTCTCTCTGCGTGAGCGCCTGGAGGTCGGCGGTGTGCAGAGAGTGCTGGAGGAAGACGTTTTTACGAGAGTAGCTGTGCAGGGACAGCGGGCCCCGGGGCGGTTGCCCCAGGCGCCCCGTGAAGGGTGAGGAAGAAGAAGAGGAAGAGGAGGAGGTGGAGGTTGGGTTGGGAGGGGACGGGAGGCCCGACGATGAGATGCTCCCCCTGCTGGCCAGGCTGTGGAGGCTGGAGGAGGAGACGCCCACCGCCCGGGGGATGAGACTGTGGTGGTGAAGCTCCCCTTTGCGGGATGTCAAGCTTCCTCCTAAGGACTCAGAAGAAGATGAGACCCTTTCCGGCTGCTCGCCGGTCAAAGATGGCATTGCGTGGTGAAGGTGAGGCTGGGCAGCAGCGATTAAAGAACGGTGGGCTGTATTCGGTGCGCTGGCAGGTGGGTGGGAGTGATTCTCCTCTGTGGCGGAACCAAGAACTAGCAGGTGATGGGGGTCGTTAGCGAGGTCCCCTGCGAGTGGCGGAGGGGGCGGTGCATCCCCGGCCCACACTGCTCTTCGTTCCTTTGGGGGCAGGCTGCTGTTGCTGCTGCTGCTGCTGCTGCTGCTGCTGCTGCTGCCTGGTCCTGACGACCACCCTGGATGGTTGTTGGCCTGAGACAAACGGCAAAAGAAAAGTGCTGTTACAAAAGAATGTTGCGTCATCATGTCAGATTTCCATCCATGGTCTCCTGCCAAAGATGGCAGCTCCAGTCCTGCTTGTCTCAACATCAAGGCGGCTCGTGATGACAAACAATTACAACTGTTTGCAGTTAAATTGAAAAGGGGCTTAAAAAGAAAAAAACTTGAGTAATCAACCACATGCTGCTTCACCATGTCACAGATTCCCACACAAAGTCTCCTGACTAACACGGCAGCTGGTGTCCCACTTCCACCAAAATAGAGCAACCTTGAGTTGGCACACATGCGGTATCATAAATGGTCTTCAGCCACCCCCCCCCAAAAAAAATAACAACATCAACGTACAATTTTTATGTCTTCCTCTCGAGCGCGTGATGAGTTAAGGTGTTTCCACCGGGGTGGGATAAGCGAGCGAGCGACTCCCGAAGAGAGGCGCTGCAATTAGAGCGAGAGGGAGCGCGCTCGCGTGTTTGCTGTCGACTGTTAATTGGGTGACATTTTGAGAACCAGAGCTCTGTGGGCTCCTGCAGCTTGTTCTAATTGTTTCTAAACCAAGCGGAACCCTGCTCACTGAAGAACACACACTTGCAGTCGCGCGAGCGCAGGCACACATGAACTCGGCGAGACAAGCAGGCCACAAGGTTCGCACGAAGCCGCAAAGCGCCGCCATCAAAGGGGCTCCCTGGACGCGGCGGAGAGGATGGCAAATAAAGCTGGATGGCAGAAACAGAAGCCACCTGTTCTCCTTTCACACGCCACTGAGCGCCTCCCCCTTATGAAGCGCAGCTCTTCACGGCCACCCTCCCTCTCTCCTCCCTCGCACGCCGCTCTGCAAAAATTCCAATCTAACCGTGATTCAGGACAGTTTATGTGGCCAAATGCGTTTGAGGTATGAGATCCATGATATAATATCAACAAACTCTTGTTACAGGCCAAATAAATGGCAAATAACCCTTTTAATTTACACAAAAATTCTGAATAACATTTCTCACTGCAGTAATTTCAGTAAGTTAACCCCCAAAAAAAATTAGTGTGATGATGTCAGAGGAGATGAACCTTAAGCTTAATGGGATCTGGAAAGTTGTTTTTTTTTTTTTTTTTTGCTTAAGGCTGAATCCCCATTTTTGCCTTATTTCATGAGTGGAGAGGTCAAAGGTCATCAGCTTTTAAATGGTTAATAGCTCACATGATGTCTTTACTTACAATTAGAAATGACTTTACAGTGGTCTTTCAACAGTTCCATAAAATATGGGGCAGTATCATTTTCCTCCGATCCTGCTTGCTGTTGCTGCTAAATTTTAAACGTGGGTTTTTTTTTTCTTCAAAATGAGGGAAGTCATGCTTGAAAGATTAAAATTGTGGTAACCTTGTCAATTTTTAAGGAATGTATTGAAGCATGGACCATTTAGCCAGAGCAAGTTACATTGAACTACAGCTTCACACCTAAATCAGACTGGGTCACGTTAAACCTCATATTGTATATATACGTATGTATATATAAGGACACTTTGATTCTCGCCTCTTTCATCTCAAACTGCTTTAAACAACAAAGCGTGTGAGGGAAAAGTGAACGACTGTCCGTGTTTTATGTTATGTGTTGTGTTTATTATTTTACTTAATGTTAACTGTTTTGTTAAGCGCTTTGTCACAGCTGCAGCTGTTGTGAAAGCGCTATATAAACCAGGATGTATTATATTGTATTGTCTTGTATATTATATTGTGGCGCTTATGGAAATAATGGAGCTTTCCAGCGAGACGGAAACTCTTTCCTTCAAGTGACCGCGGACTACTCCGTTACTTGAGTGGCTCCCTCCATTTCTTTTGATGTCCATTACCTGCTACACGGTAAAAAAACAAAGGCACTTTGGAGTGGTTATTGAGCGTCTGGTGCTTGCTAATGCGTCCTGATGAGCGGACGCACGCAGCAAGATTTCCCTCTGACTTATTTGTCTCGTTAAGACGAGTGCAGCTCAATCCTTCATGAGTGGGAGAGGCGGGTGGGGCATACTGAAACCCCACGAGGGAACTGTGACAGCGCTGTGCTCCTGGTTTTGGCGGGATGGCTGACTGAGGGACTAAATCTGAACAAAGCAACTGTTCGAGTTACAGAAGTTGTTTTTGTTTTATTTCCGAGTTCTACAAAGCATCACAGCAAAATCCTAATGCATTGTCAAGACCTATAAACTAGCATGACTTTAGTACGCAATGTGACGTAAAGTGAGCCTGACTATTATTTTTTGGTTTCATTTTTTTCTGAAAATTCAACAAGACACAGCAACAACCAGCATTATCATGCACCATCTTGACTACAGCCAAAAAGAATTGAGGTATTACGTGAGCATGTGATGTGGCAGGCCAACTTTTATTTGTATTTCTAGCATGCTTCGACTAAAGACAGATTTATACAATGTTATGGAAAGAAAAAATTGTGTTCCTAATCTCGAAAGTTAAAGTTGTGGTATCGCTGTGTGTGTGTGTGTGTGTGTGTGTGTGTGTGTGTGTGTGTGTGTGTGTGTGTAATAGCCGGCAACAGATGGAGACAAAGCAAAAGGTCAAGCGCAATGAAAAGAGAGGCGTAAACAAATGGAGTCAAAGGATGGCGGGGACAGGAGAGGGATGACAGATTGGCAAGAACGTGATCAAAGACGTAGATAAAACGCGACGAGAGCAACAGACGGTGGGGGGAGGAAAAAAAAAAAAACAGAACTGATTTACAAACTCAGGTGTCCTCTCCCCAAGTACGCGCCTCTCAAATATTGATGCCGTGTGAGTGTCCACAAGTAGGACTGGAATAAATCACAGTGATGTTTACTTAGGGTGCAAATGGACAAGGGCTCCTCAAGACTCTCAAGAACCTTCCATCACACACCACTTGTAATGACTTTCAAACAAAATACACACACACACACACACACACACACACACACACACACACACACACACACACACACACACACACACACAGTATGCGGTATGCGACACACCGGGGGGAAACAGTGGAAGCACAACACCGGTGTCATCAATCACACACCAGGACTCAATACCCCATGGAGGCACAGAATCGTAATGAGGTCCAAAAAACGCATTGGACACCAAAAAGTTAAGAGTCCTCACGGAGATAAAAAGGGAAAAGTTGATTCGAATACTATCTTTTTTTTTTTTTTTCCATTTAACTGTTGCCTTCATGATAGAAGTTTTCATCAAACAACTTTTGATATACCGCAGTAGAAACGCTCCAAACCCTTTTGATGATGTTTCAGTCATTGAGCGAGTCAACACAGATGAATCAATTATTGTTGTTTTTCCATTTGAACGAGATGAGAAAATCTCTCTGAATGTTCTGAACTTTCTGTTTCTAAGCCATACTGCAGGAAAAATAATGCTGCAGTTGTTCTTCCTTGGTAGACAGCACTTGAGATGGTTACAGCGCAGGCACGATGACTCTTATTGATATTTCAACGGTCGATGCTATCCTCCTTTGTTTCTCTTGTCATTTCTAAAATTGTATTTTAAAATTCTCTTGTCCTGCATTCCTGGCCCCCTTACTTGGGTTCCAACCACACTAACCCTGACAGTGCTAACAGAGTAAAGAAAAACAAAGAACATGGCCTGGAACAGTCGGTGAACACCTGCAGACATTCAGGACATCTCCCACATCTATTTTCTCCCAAACAATCAAATAAAGGCTGAGAATGCGAGCGTGCCGGCTGTCTCAAGGCCATAACACACACGCTCTTTCAACTCGCTGGTTTACCTCAGTAAACACCCCCTTTTGGAACAGCCGGTGGCAACGTCCTCCCCGTTGCCATCCTGCTTTTCACATATCGCGGAAAGCTCTTGTATTGTGTAATCATTCAGTTTTTGGTCACTCTATTTCTCTCACGGCGGAAACGCGTACAAATACAAATTCAAGTTTAAGTTCTTCTGGTGCGGCATTAATTTGGACCACGCCATAGCCGTACGTTATTTGCCAATCTGTGTTATTGTCGTGGTAAAGTCACTATTTGAGAAAAGTAATAGTAGCTAGCTGCGGACTGGTTAGCTGCTAGCTTGCCCCTCGTAACCCACCGCTTGGTGCTATTTGACAAAGACCAAGGCTGCATTGTTAGCTAGCTACAGCCAGCTAGCTACAGACTAGGTAGCTGCCCCCACACGTCACCTGTATTCCATGAACGGTTGATTTCATGTTAATATTACGAGTGGTCGTCAGTTTACAAGCACTGACATTATTTCAAAGCAACGGTGTGCGTAATTAGTTTGCGCAGTGGCGTGGAAAGGAACCAGTTACCGCCAATGTTTTTCGTAGAAATGTTGACAGTAATTAGGATTTAACGAATGCAGTTGCATATGTTAGCGATAGATGACATACATTCAGGTTGAGTGAAAACAAAAAGAACCCCCATCTTGAACCGCTAAGAATATTAAAGCTTTAACGTTGGCAACCGTCTGACTTGGGAACCGTCTGACTTGAACTCAATTTTGCCTAACATGGACTCTTAAATGCTCGAAGTGCTTGATATGTGCATTATTAATCTAATGAGTGAGTGTAAATGCTGTGAAGCGTGTCGGTGTTTGTCTTCTATGAAGATTCAAACGATGACATTATGAATTATAAGCACTTTGAGCGGACCAGTCCATGACACTAGTCTTGCTTTCTGTCTGTAGGCCTCGTGTGTTGTTTTTCTTCTTTCCCCTCCCTTGACCTCTGTTCTTCACACATCTCACACCTCCACCACCGCCCTTCATTTTGACCTGCTTATTTCTTTTTCTTTTCTTTTTCTTCTTCATGGTTGTGTAACGCTGTGCATAAGAATGCCGGCGGCTGCCAGGGCCGAGCAGACCCTGACAGCTGGAGGATTGATGGCAGACTGCTGCAGTCTGGAGACCAAGCACAAGGAAAGGCCACCATGAAGTTTCAGAAAATATGAAATTGACAGGACAGAACAGTGATCTAGTGGCGACCATGTCGGCAA